ACCCCAAACTGGATCATCTAAAATATTCCTTATTTTGCACCTAGCCCAGTAAAAATGCAGCCATGTCTTTCAGATACAGTAATAATGTCCCATAAAAACAAACAGAGCAGAACAGAAGCCTAAATTATTTATTTATTTAACCTTTATTTATCCAGGTAAGCTGTCTGAGAACCACTTCTCATTTACAAACATGACCTGGCACTGAGTGCATTTCAATATACAAACCTACATATTCAGCCGTAGTAAAGTGATTGTAAATTTTAACCGCGATTAAAATTTTTAATCTATGCCCATGCAGCACTAAAATTAATCAGAGTTAACTTGATTAATTTCACAGCCCTACTAAATTTCTGGGCTATCTAGAAAATCAAATTTGTTTTAAAGTTAGAGATAAAGTTTAAATGAAAACTTTTCGAAAAGCCCTTTCATGCTGATTTATTACTGCAATAAAATACAAAAACGAGTTAATTCCAGTGAAATAAAATGGTTCTCTTCGTCTCTTTTAGGTTGTGCTGCTGATGGATGCTGAGAAGAGAATCCGTCTCCTTCAGTTTGTTACAGGGACGTCACGAGTGCCCATGAATGGCTTTGCTGAGCTCTACGGTGTGTGACCAGTTCTTACTACTGTCTCTGTGGCAGGAACAAGGGATTTAGCAAAAAATAGAATTTAAAATCTGAATAATGGAAACTTGTTCAAAGCTTTTTTTTAAATCCATGTTGCAGTTGAAAGGAAAAAGTGTTTATTTTTATGTTAAATGCTGCAATTACCCACACACTTTGTGTTCTAACCCAGGCCGTCATCTCAACAATGGCATTTTAATGATGTTTCTTCTCCGTCAGGTTCTAACGGTCCTCAGCTGTTTACGATCGAGCAGTGGGGGACGCCAGACAAATTACCAAGAGCTCACACATGGTAAAGCCACCACGAGGCACCGTTCACTTGTGCTCCTCTATTTTCTTGTAACGTTTTGGTTAACTTGTTTGTTTCCCCCCCCAGTTTCAACCGCTTGGATTTGCCCAGCTACGAATCATTCGAGGACCTGAGAGAGAAACTCCTCATGGCTGTAGAGAACGCTCAAGGCTTCGAGGGGGTCGACTAAAACTTTTGACTGAACACGGCAACAAATAAAGCAAAAGTTAAAAACCAACAGGGACATCAAACCAGCTGCTGTAGCAGTTCTGTGCGAGCATGTTGTACTGTAATGCCTGACTATGAGCCACCTCCATGGCGCAGGGGTTTCTGACTGTACATTGACTTGTCGAGCCAATATGCCTGCGTGTTTGTATCTTTTCAATGTGTGTGTGTGTGTGTGTGTGTGTGTGTGTGTGTGTGTGTGTGTGTGTGTGTGTGTGTGTGTGTGTTGGGTGGGGGAGGGTGTCACTCCGTAGAGATGCAAGGGGAAGAAAAAGGAACGTCGTTCTGTTTCAATGCAGAAATCTCTCATCCACAGACGTGATGGATAAACGACTGCAGCTGGCCCCTGATTCGGTGTTTCTTCCCCTCTTTCCTTGGCCCTGAGAGAAATCTGCTGTGCTGGAAAATACAGATGCATTTCTACAGCTTCTTTTATTTACACTGTAGCACAGTAATCAAGCACCCTTCGGCAGACGGGGGACTTAGCTTGGCCTTAATCTGGCTCTGACATGCACTATTTCTCCAAGAAACTGCAACAGCACTATGATCACAACTCGTTTTTTTTTTCTCAAATATTTAGCCCAACACCAGATTACCTTAGGAATGCTAGCCAACCACATTTCAGGAAATCAGACACACGCAACCCTCCGTAAAGCCTTGTCTGTGCCGTATTATCAGATATTGCTGCAGCAACCTTTGTAGACTTGAGTTTCGTTTTTTTTTTCGTGGTGGGGAATTTAAAAACGAGGCTTGAGAGGATCTCATAATATGACTTTTTTACACTAATTTGTATAATTCTAACTTCAAACAGATTTCCTTTAAATAATAATTTCTTTAACTCTGACAGATAAATACTCTTGTGTATTTGTACTGATGAGCTATGTTCTTTACTGTTTCAACGACTGGACATGACATGTGAAGTTTAAATCTGGTTTAGTCTGAGAAATGATTGTCATTTGTTACAGTGATAGCAAATGTGGTAAAGTTTTTTTTATTGTAGTGCTTTTGAAAGCAGCATGAAGTTGTAACGTGTTTGCTTTGACTACATACTAATTTGGAAGTCGGTCTTGAGGCCATGAAGGGAAAACCATGGGTAGTTGCTCTGAATGCATTATTATTATTATTATTGTTATTATTATTATTATTATATTATCATGCCTGTTGCTGTTCATAATGCTGTAAATTGTTCTTGGAAAACAAAAACATTTTAAGTTCTGTCATAAAATATAAATACATGTACGTATTACATTTAACAGAAGTATTACTGATCAACACTAAAATGAAGCTGTGTATGAGTGAATGCTGGAGTGAAAAGCTGTGATTACCGCTGAACATAAAGCAGCATGTTTCCTACTAAGAAAAAATGTCTTCTTTTTTTATGTTCTTCCTCCTTTTTCTAACACTATTGAACCTGAAGGGCACTTTATAGATCACTTTGAGCTTATGTCGCCTGATGTCTCGTCATTTATTGAATGTTCTTTCCTTTCCATTCAGAGCACTTACCTGGTGCAATATAAACAGTCTGTAAACCTAAGCTGCTACTATAGTAGACAAGTGATGCTGAGTCTTTATATCCTTATTTTTCATTTCTCCGTTTTGTCTTTTTGACCTCTTTGTATTTTCCTCCCTCATGTTTCTTCCTTGGTATCACCACTCTGACTGACTTTGTACAGATGATTTTTTAGCAGGTTTTAGTTTCAACCAATGAGAAGAAATAATTTTTGTTAATGATTCCACTACTTTCTGCAACTCTGTGGTTCATTTAATTTTAGTCAAATAAAATAAACTTCCTAGGCTGTGTTGCTTTTTTGTATCGAGACTGAAGATCAATGAGTGCAATGCAAAGTATAGTATTCATTTTGATGATCAAACTTAATGAGCTGGGTTATGCTGAATTTATTCGTACATTTGTGTTAACTGAGTTAAAAGTACAGGACCGAGCACACATCCCAGAGGTGCACCCTGTTAGATGAAATGTGATTTTTCACAGTTAACATATGCTGTCTTGTTTGACAGAACATCAAAAATGTTGTTAGTCCGGTTCATTCAGAGACAGTGTCACTAATTGCAAACATGCTTGTATTTGTATCAACCCTGTGTCATTTAGCTCATTGATTTTTGCAAAAATTTATATGACCACGTATGTAAAACAAAATCTCAGTTTGTCTCTCTTTGGAAACATACTGTTGAAATTGTACTTTTTTTGAGGTTTAGCACATTGTTCATCTTTTCAAATATTACTGCAGTACTTTGCCATAAATGTAAAGGAGAAAATATTGAGACCTGGATGTGACAAAACTGCACAAACACTGATCAGTGTTATACAGTAAACTTGAAGAATTACTTTATGTTCTACAAAATTAAAACTGTTGTTAAATTTCATAGTTGGTTATTTGTATGGCATTACATTTATTGGTTTACATTAATTAAGGTGCTGATAGGTGGAGTTATCAGGATTAAATTAAAAAATACATTCAGTGTAATCTCACAGCCAGTCAAATACATACTGCTTAACATACATACGTAAATCAAATGTAATAATAAAAAGTAGCAGGATTTATTTTCCACTAATAAAGCAAAAGCAAAGAAATTTAAATATGTGTGAAAATGCAGAACTCAAATTTGGTTTAAAAAAGACTCACTTTTTTTCTAATACCAACAAAAATTTAAGACAAACTAATTAAAATACTATATTGTTGAAAAACAGGTTTTTTTCTTCAAAATAAGAAGCCAAAAAAAGATTAAAATAAGACTGATAAAACTTAAAATGAGTTAAAATTTACTTTCCACAAAGCTTAAAAAATTTCATTGAATAAAGTATGTAAAACAAAACCTTAATTTCAAGATTGTCATAGTAAATATACTTTTCCTAAAAAAATAGAGAATAAATTGGAGGATTGAAAGAGTTAACAGATTTAGTCCTGTGACTTAAATTAATCTCTTTCACTAAATTGGCTGAGATTTTATACTTGGACGGTTTAAATAATTTAAGTCTGTTTATGAAAGTAAAGGTTTAAAATATTGGCCTGTGCTGTTAAGTTTATTGTAAATTCATGACAAATTATTTTGCATCTTGTGTGACCAGTATTCTTTTACAAATAATCCATTTTAAAGGAATCCCAGTTAAAGTTCAATAATTTGTCCACATCATAAAAGCATCCCTTAAAAGAACAAAACTCTTTCCAAATATAGTTTTCACCTTTTTTTTTGCATATTTGTATCTGAATATTAGTAAAATCTCCTACAGCCCTCTCCATCTTTCTGCGTGCATGTGCACATGGTCTGGTGTGGTGAAGGGACCTCAGTTCATTCACACAGGCAATCTAAGAGTTATCAGCTCCAAGGACGAGTAAATAAAAGCCACCCGGCCTGTCCGAGGACATTTTATCAAGCCCTCCTACCCTCCATCTGGTCACAAACAAAATGAGAGCCAGCATTTCTTTAGGTCTAAAAAGACTACCTGATTACCTGTTTAAGAAAAAAAAAAGACTGTAGAATTGCAGCAGATAAAACATTGAACTCAGTCTTTCAATCGTTTTTTTTAAATGACATATTTTACAAGAAAATTACTTTTTTACATTTAGGCTTGAACATGTTCAGGGGATAGTTTGTGTTGTGAACAAATATCTTACCTGTTGCACATATTTTTCTGAGTGTCCCCAGTTTGGAGAAATAGAGTTGTATTCTGATTGAAGTGACAAGAAGTGACTTAAAAAGCCAATCTGAAAATTTTCAGAGCATTTATACAAGATACAACACAATATCTATGTGAATTTTGCATTACGCAATTATTACAGCAAAAAATATTACAATGTTCCTGCCAGAGAAGCTCCAGGCTGTACGAAAAGCACCATAGCTGCACTTGAAAGTAACAATAGGTTTTCGTGTAAATAGTCAAGACATGTGCAATTTATGGTGGTGTAAAAGCATTTAAATTATTATTAACAAGAACAATAAACAAATAAGAAATAAACAAAACAAAAAAACTGAGACCCTTGCTAAATTTTTCCTAGCTTTTGTCATATGTTGCCTACATGAGTTTTTCTTTTAAACACACGTACATGGCTTCTTGGCTCGACTCATCTCTTCAACCATGTTTGTTAAAACATTCACAATTTAGCTCACTTTGAAAAACCTCAGTATTAAGACCCCAAACATGCAGGCCAACTTTTTTTTTTTTTTTTTTTTTTTTGGTCTCCCCTTCCTCCACCCTTCACCCTCTACCTCTGGTCAGGGTCGATCAATACTTCCCCTGTAGCTTATCACTAATGTGCAACTGGCTGTTTGTCCAAACCCTGCTCTGTCTACATAAAGACTCAGAGGGGATGGCTTCTAACCCAAATTCACCACATATCACCCCATGAACTCAGCAGCTGCGGACACACTACTGGACTTAAACTGACAATAACCCACGGAGCGGCGGGCAGAGAGGGGGAGCAGAAGACTGACTGCTGAGCATGAATGAGTGAATCTGGAAGAGCTTTGAAACTCAGGGTGAGTTAGTGTCATCCTGAAACAGGGTTGGTATTCTTTAAACTAAGTTTCACTGACAAATTCTGTTAAAAATACTAGTTTAAAGTGTTTTTTTAATTGTCAAATGCATAACCTGATTGAATTTTCAAATATTTAAGTTTGTGTGACTTAGTCCGAACTGGTTTGATCTGCCTCACACATTCACACACACACATGCAAACTCAAACAGCTGCCGTTTTCCCTACAATCAGTAACAAAAGCAACACGACTGGACTTTGGACACGTTGGATAAGCGTGACAAGGGCTGTCGCTTGTTTTTCTGTTTTCATTTTTTACTAAATTCTTTCGAAATCAATTTTAAATCTGAAATAACTTTGACAAAATAAATACAGGTGTGCACACGTCTGCGTTAGACTCTCAGTTTTTCCTGAAATCATCAAATTTCCTCTTTTTTTTCCTACAGGTCATTCATTCATCCATCCACCAACCTGTGTGTCTGTGCATCTACAGCAGATCTGGTCCTCTGGAGTTGTGGAGTGTGACAATGGTGTTTGTTTTCTGTCCATCAAACGCCATTATCACACTAAATAGCTACAGTGTGAAAACGGGCTCGGTGTGTTCCATCGCTCCTGGATTTCTGCCTCTGAAGAATTTGTCGAGGATCTTTTGAAGCTTCTGTTCGACCTTTACTTTCCCTTTTTTTATATATATGGTAAACCTGTGTGCTCAGGTGGTCACAGCTTAAGACATGTTAGAGTGACTCAGAGGAGTCAGAAAGGACAATTGTGTTAAATTAGGATGTCAATAATCTTTAAATGATCCATGTACTAAAAAGTTATTTTATTTTTTTCAACATTTTCAGTGTCTAACCATGCTGTTTTGTTTAGAGGCTCTATCATTTTTTAATGTCGGTACTAAACATTAAACATCCCCATTCCCAAAGGTTTAAAAACACAAAGTTTCATAAATGTGTTCAAAAGCAGTTGATTATTGTCGTTGTTTTATTATTTTAAAACTCTGATTGATTAAATCTGTTCCACTACAAGAAAAACACAACTGAACTATATTCGTGTAATTACAGCTCACAGCCGAGGACGGGCGATTAAGTAATTACTACTTGTGCGTACGTGCGTTTGTTTTTTTTAGCTAAATATCTTTTGAATTACTGGAAGGATTTTTACTGAACTCTCACAAATTAATCATTGGATAAACATGTAAAACTGTTCAACTTCTGGAGTCAACCCAATTCAAGATGGCTGCCACAGCCCGCTAACTCTAGAAAAAACAAAAATAGCTACAAACCGGTCTGTTTTACAGATTCTGAGCTAAAATTTGGTGAGGTGGTAGCTGAGACTGACCCTCAACACACAGTCTGAGCCCCAACAGATTGTACAAAACGTTTGTTTAGAATTTGTTTAAAACTTTTTGGAGTCAACCCTTTCTGTCTGTTAGCAAAATATTTCACTGAAAAAAAATTGATCGAAACTTTTAATGCATAATCACTGGATGTACGTCTACAACTGATTAGTGTTTGGAGTTGACCCAATTCATTATGACCACCACTGCTGATTAAGCAAATACAATTATGGCTGAGTCATTTGAACAGATTTTGAACTAAAAATGGATCTGGTTGTAGCTAAGCCTCATGTCTGCAGTTTGACTCACATTTAAGGGGCTGCAGTGGGAGCAGGAATATAACAAAGTGTGATTAAATACCAAGATTACTTATAGGAAAATAGTGACCTCGTGTTAGTGTGCGTTTTTGTGCCTTTCACACACACACACACACACACACACACACACACACACACAC